AGGTCTGGATGTGTATTGTCCTGCAACGCTGTAAATGTTGTAACTGAGATGCAATATAATAACGAAAGGAGTCGGGAACCACAAGACTGCCCGTATCCTGAGCTTCCTGTAGAGTCTCAAGTTTAATCCGAGGTGTTTGCATCCGCCAAATTAGGGAGCAAAACACAGTATCAAATCGTTTAACGATCCATGTAGGAATCCACACAGGGGCATTATGCAGGATATAGAGTAGTTGAGGGGCCCATATGATTTTGACTAAGTTACATCCCCCTACTACAGAAAGAGGGAGTTTGGTCCAACTGGTTGTTTTTTGCTGGAATTTTTAAGTAGTGGAAGTTTAGGTCTGCATATTTCGATAGAGTGGGTGTGAATGATGACACCCAAATATTTAGAAGGAGCCCACTATTTCAATCTGAGCAGCTTCAGGTGGTATGGGATGTGTAGGGGGGCCAGCGGGAGAAGGGTGGCTATATATCCCAATTTATTGAGAAGCCAGGGAAGGAGCCAAATGCTGTGATTAGCGTCAGACAAGCTAACGTGGAGGATGTATTGTCCAAAAACAAAAATGTTGTCATCGGCATATTACACTACATTCTCCATCCGTTCTCTACAAAAACCCACAATACCTGGATCCTCTAAGGGTCTCTGTCGCTAAGGCGAATAATAACAGGGAGAGAGGACAACCCTGCCGTGTCCCTCTTCTTAATGTAAATGAGGGGGACAGGGCATTATTGACCCGAATACAGGCCGTCGGGGCACGATATAATAATTGTAGCCATGAGATGAAAGTGTCCCCTAGGCTAAATTTTGCAAGGACTTGCCAAAGGTACCTCCAATTCTATGCTGTCAAAAGCTTTAGCAGCGTCAAGAGACAAAATTGCCCTGTCACCTATGTTGTCAATAGGGATTTGAAGGTTGAGATAAAGCCTACAAATGTTGATTGTCATAGATCTGTTGGGACTGAAACACGATTGACCTGGGTGAATAAGCGTAGAAATAACCTTGGTCAGTCTAGTCGCCAGTACTTTGGTAAATGATTTTGAGGTCTGAGGTCAATAACGATATGGGGAGGCAAGACTCCACTAATGTTGGATCCTTCCCCGGCTTCAAAAGTACAACTATTATTACCTCCTACATCGAGGGAGTTCTGTTCTAAAGCAACCTGGATAATTATAAGTAGTTCAGATAAAAGTATTCCACCAAAAGACTTGTAAATTTCCATCGGCAGCCCATCTCCGCCAGGGCCTTTGGAACTGGGGTAGAATGCTACAGCCATTTGCAATTCTTCAAGAGTGATTGGTGGATTCAACATTTTTCCTATGCGGAGTGGCACATTGAGGGAGTGTTATACGCTCCAAAAACTCCATTTTGGTAGAACAGAGCGATTCATAAAAAGATCTAAAGCCTTGTAAGATGGAGTCCAATTGAGTCGAGGACAATTTTAAAGAAGAGATGTGGGAAAACGGTTGCTGAGCTTTCACAATGATCGCAAGCATATGACCAGTCTTTTCCCCCCTGCCTGAAGAAGGCTTGAGAAATAAAACGTTTATATTCAGCATGCTGAAATTGTACAGTACAAAAAAAACAAAACAAAAAAAACAAACAAAAACCGTTGGGCCGACACCCACTCCCTCTCTGTATCAGGGTTGGAATTGCTAAGATAGGCTTGTTCTGCCTTGGTTACAGATTGGCTGGCATCAACCTCCCACTGTCTAGAGTTAGTCTTAATACTAGAAATTTATTTGATACACATGCCTCTAATATATGCTTTCAAAGCATCCCATAGGAGAGGTTGAGTGTCTGTTATCAAGTAAGAAACCCTGTAATTGTTCATGCATTAGATGCAGATCTGTGAAAAAAAGTTATCCAGAATGGATTGAGCTTCCACAGCTTAAATGTTGAAGGCCTTTTCAAAGGATAAGGATAAACGCATTGGGGAATGATCGGATAGGCCCCTAGCCAAGTAGGTTACCTGAGGAGCATACGGTAGGATCTGATCAGAGCCCACCGCTAAATCTATATGGGACAGGGAGGAGTGGGAGCTTGAGTAACATGAAAATTGAGTATCTAGTGGGTGGAGATCTCGCCATAACTCCTGTAGCGCAATCTCCATCATGTGGCAGGCAAAGGGATCTAAGGAAGTATCCAAAACAGTGTTGAAGTCCCCCACTACCAATATTGGTATTTGCAGATGGGTGGCTACAAATTGAAAAAAACACACACTTTACTGTCTCCATATTAAAATAGTGGAGGTACATACATATTTGCACAAAACACATAAGTGAGAGTTCCAAATGCAAAACAAAAATATGTAATGACCTAATGGGTCTGTCTTGGAGCAGACAACCATGAAAGGTACTCCTCTAGCAACCATTATACTTACTTCACTGGAGTATTGAGAGTGTGTAGCATGGAACTGAATGGGGAGTTTAGAATGCTTCATGAGATGAAGAGTGTCCAAAGTCATGAGAGTCTCTTGAAGGCATACAATGGAAGGGTCTTGATGACAGATGAATGTGAAGACAGCCGACCTTTTCTTGGGGTCATGCAGGCCACGAACATTCCAAGAAAGGATATTATCCTTTTGACTACTCATGATTATGAGATAGGTTATGAAGAGTAGAATCTTCATTCCTTCGTGGCAGTGTCCAGTGCCCCATGGAAGTTTTGGGCGATTTATCGCCTGTAAGACGTGTATATCATTGGGAAAATCACAGAGGAGATGGTCTTCCTGGAAAAATCCAGTAGATGAAAAGCGGCATCGGGTGTGTCCAATCCCAGAGACAGCATAGCAAGTGAAAAAAATAGAAAAAACAACATGGGGAAAAAAAAAAAAAAAAAAAAAAGTGACCAAACCTGAGTAAACTCAAAAACGCCCCGCAGGGTAGCAGAGGAGGCAATCAAAAGGCTTAAAGCTGAAATTCCAAAAGGTGTAGCTATGTGTGTCAACTGCTACTAATGCAATGCTGGTGAACTGTTCATCCATGAACTCCGCTTCCAAACTAAGGGAGAGACAAGGTTGAATTTGAAGTGAGAACACCGGGCAATGATCAAGTCAGACGGGAGCTGGGCGAAGACTTTTTTCATTCCTATCCAGCAAGTTAGTCGCTGCCGCAGGGGAGCCAAAAGGAGCTGTACTAGGACATCTGTTATCACTCTTAACTTAGCAGGATAAAGCATGGAGTAAGATACCCGAATTGCACCTAGGCAGCGTTTAACTTCAGTGAATCTGGCTCGCTTACACTGAATTTCAGCCGAGAAATCTGTAAATATAGATATTTATAGATAAAGATGAAACTGCAACCATCTCACAGAGACGTCCAGGCCATCCATAGAAGTTAATGCTTCAACAGGAGCATCTTCTGATGAGAAGGGTTGAAGAAAATCGCCATGCAAGTTCACTGCAGTTAGCTAAACAAGGAGAAAACCAAACTGGGGTGATTGTTTCCTGTGACACAATGCGGCGTACACTGCAGAGGAATGGCATGCATGGGTGTCATCCACGAAGGAAGCCTCTCCTAAAGCCCACCTAGAATTTGCCAGGGCCCATACTGAAAAGAAAAAAAAAAAAAAAAAAAAAAAAAAAGGAGGACTACTGGGGCTCTGTACTCGAGTGACGAGACCAAGATAAATGTTTTTGGAACTGATGGCTTTAAAACTGTATGGTGTCGCAAAGGTGAGGAGTATACAGAAAAATGCATGGTGCCTACAGTGAAACATGGTGGTGGCAGTGTGCTTCTGTGGGGGCTGCATGAGTGCTGCTGGTGTCAGGGAGCTGCATTTCATTGATGGTATCATGAAATTCACAGATGTACTGCTCTATATTGAAAGAGAAGATGCTCCCATCACTCCATGCCCTTGGTCATCCAACAGGACAATGATCCAAAACACACATCCAAGGCCACTGTTGCATTTCTGAAGAACAGGGTGAAAAGTGATTCAGTGGCCAAGTACTGCTTGTCTCCTGATTTGAACCCAATCGAACACCTATGGGGGATTCTGAAGAGACAGGTTGAGCATCACTCTCCATCCAGAATCCAGGCTCTAAAAGAGGTTGTTCTTGAAGAATGAAAAAAAATAGATGTTGCGATATGTCACCAACTTGTTCATTCCATGCCTAGAAGACTTGGTGCTGTCCTTACAGACCATGGAGGTCATACAAAATACTAGATGGAGTAGTTTTTGTTGTGGGGTGGATTCATTTTGTGCATCAACTAATTTGAATAAAAGTGAAGATTTTGTAATCCAAGTTATTTTATTAACCTTCCTTTCATGTAATGAGCTGAACAAATGTTCTATAAAAAACTCAGTTTTGTCAAAACTTTTGGAAAATTGTTCCTGTCTTCATTGAGATATTGATGAAAATTTTACTTTTCAAAAGGCTTGTACTCATTTATGCTGAGCAGCGTGTGTATATATATACACACACACACACACACACACACAATATACTGTATATATGTTGAAAGGGCGGGTTACAATTGTGTACCCCAGTACCTTGTAATTATAGCATTTACATCAACAGGCTCCCTTTCATCTGCTGCAATAAATAACTGAAACAAAGGGATGTGATGTTCATATACTGGCTGGCTTGATAAAGAGCGTGGTCACTCATAACTGTTGCCGTTAAGCTAAACTGTGGTGGAAATTGTTTTAGCTCTTGGAATACAAGTAAAAAAAAAAAAAAAAAAAATGCCAGCAGTATATATATATATATATATATATATATATATATATATATATATATATTTTTTTTTTTTTTTTTTATTGTGGGAACTCGCTTCTTAATGGTAGAGCTTCTTCCAAGCACACAGCAACTCGCTTCTTTTTAAGGGCCTTTTTGCCCAATTTTATTTACAAGAAAGTTCAAATAACAAAAATGCTTCCCACGCAGGGGTATCCACCATTACACAAATTCAGCCCTCCGGCTCTTTCAGCTATACCGCTTTATATATGTCTCCTACAGACTCCTTCCACAAGGTTGTTTTTGCACACAGCAAACTTCTAGCACACAGCTAGTCTGGCTCCCACCTCTACTCGGTGAAGCCCACCTGACTCCACAGCAGAGACCTTCTGTCTGCCGGGGTGGAGCCCTCCTGACTCCTATCTGCCGGGGTGGAGCCCTCCTGACTCCTATCTGCCGGGGTGGAGCTCAGAATCATGGCCTGGCCTCCACAAAAAAGAGGCCTGCACACACCTGTGCAATCAGCGTGCTGGCTGCTCCCAAAATATGGGCCCAGGATTGGAGATTTCATCCCTCCCAAATCTCTTAGAAATCTCCAGGCTACAGGTCCCAAAACAGGCTTTACAAACCAAAGAGGAACCTGATAAACCAGTTTCCTCTGCATTATGAGATCTGCCTGGAGCCCCTCAACCTGTATGGTTGAGAATCCTGGGTCTCCATCGTGATTTCCACCGTGGCAGGATACCGTACTGCCACAATACATTATATATATATATATATATATATTGTGGGAACTCGCTTCAACGTGGTAGAGCTTTGAAACGCAAACAGCTACTCGCTTTCTTTTTCAGGGCCTTTTTAGCCCATTTTTATTTAAATGAAAGTTCAAACATAATGCTTCCCACGCAGGGGGTATCCACCAACAAAACAAAGATTCAGCCTCCTGGCTTACACACAGTTCAATGTCAGTCCTCTGCAGACTCTTCCCAAATTATAGCCACTAGCACACAGCTAGTCTGGCTTCCACCTGACTCCAAGGCAGAGACTTCCCGTCTCCCGGGGTGGAGCCCTCCTGACTCCTAGCTGCCGGGGTGGAGCCCAGAACTCTGGTCCTGACTCTCCTCTAAAGGCCTGCACACACCTGTGCAATCAGCGTCCTGGCCTATCCCAAAAACCTGGTCCCAGGATTGGAGATTTCATCCCTCCCAGATCTCTTTGAAATCTCCAGATCCCAAAACAGACTTTACAAACAAAGGAGGAAAGTGAAAAGCCACTTTCCTCCTGTATCAAAACACTTAGCCTGGAGCCCCTCAACCTGCCTTGTTGAGAATCCTGGGTGACAGATCGTCACCACTGTCACAATATATTATACTGCCATATATATATATATATATATATAGCACCCCTTTGACTGACACACGCACATGGAAATTGCACTCATAATCTCACTTCTAACTCCAGCTTGTTCAATTAAGCTTTCATAATAAAATCTGGAAGCCGACTGGTTTCTAGGTAGAAGTGAGCCTGATTTTGCATGCTCCAGCTTTAGTAAATAACCCCCTATATAGCATTTAACCTAGAATTACCTGAGCTTTTGGCTGGTTCACCCGGGAGGCATGGTGCCAACAGTGCAGCACAAGTATGTAGATCTTCATGTAGGGGGGCAGCTTGTAGCAGCTTCTTGTGCAGCTCCCTCAGGTTTGGGATCATACTCTCCATCTCTTACAAACTCTTCACCCATATATCTTGATCTGAAAATCATCATTGAATTTAGTGTCTGGGGCTTCTGTAGGGAAAAAAAAAAGGGACAATTGTTTTAAAACTCAAAAAAGCAATTTACATTGCACTGATCTGATTCATCTACACTTTCAAGGCTCTATGTTTGGTATGCAGCTGTTTGAAAGTTCAACCCCAATTTTTTTTTTCATTTTCTACAGCTAGAAGGGTTATACCTTCTGTAAGGTTATCATCACTGTCTCTCTCTTACAAATCTTTTCTTCCCCATGTTCTGAGCAATAAAAGATGGTAGAATTATGACACTTCTGGAAGTGTCAGATCGCTGTCTGCTGCTGCTGTCTCTGCTTGGAACATGGAAAGTATTTATTGGACTACTGGTAAAAAGGCTTTCACTGAAAAGCAAGGTTCAGTGACAGGGTCTCTTTAACCACCTGCTGACTGCCATACATATAAAAAAAAAAAAAAAAAAAGTTCTTTCAGCAAGTAGTTATTATTGGTTATTGCAGCTGCAACAATGATCTTGCTACCATTTTTCTTACATCTGGTGATTGGCTGTCTTGTACAAGGTGCAAGTGAGCAGGGTGGCTCTGCAGCCACCCGATCACTTTTACAGTACAGAGAAGAGCTGTGCCCCTCCCTAGTAAAAGGCCAGGATCCTCTCACACAGAGCAGACGGGGGAACATCCACTCCCTGATCTCGTTTGTGACAAAAGAAGCCGGAAGTGATTAGGATTTCATCACTTCTGTTTTCAGAGCTGTCATTCTCTGACTGTGACAGCAAGTGAAGGAGCTGGTCAAGCACAATTTGCTTTGGAGGACAGGGGAGCCGTGGACCCGTGATGTGTGCATAAAAAGTACCTGTCACTGGCCAAAGCTATCACAAAAGGGCTGGTTAAACCTGTGAAACAATAATAATATTTAAAAAACAAAAAAACTTAATAAAAATAACATTTGAATAAAATAGATAATAGTAAAAAAAAAAAAAAAAAAAAGTTACACATACATGCAAATGTGAACACAGGTCCCACACACATACAGTGAGTAAAATAAGTAAGTATGAAACACGTTGCCATTTTTCTCAAATATATTTTTAAAACGGGTTATTGACAAGAAATTTTCACCACGTCGGTAACAACCCATGCAAGCCATACCTACAAAGAAACCAAAACAAATACGTTCAGAAATTAAAGTTGTGTAATAAAATGGAATGACACAGAGAAAAAGTATTGAACACACCAACTGAAATTTATTTAACACTTCGCACAAAATCCTTTGTTGGTAATGACAGCTTCAAGATGCCTCCTGTATGAAGAAACACCATGATGTTCCCACCTCCAAACTTCACTGTTGGGATGGTGTTTTTGGGGGTGATGTGAGGTGCCATTTGCCTCCAAACATGGTGTGTATTATGGCATCCAAAGAGTTCAATTTTGGTCTCATCTGACCAGACTATACTCTCCCAGTATATCAAAGGCTTGTCTAAATGTTGTGCAGCCAACAGTAAACGAGCTTCAACATGCATTTTCATCAGCAATGGTGTCTTGCGTGGTGAGCTTGCATACAGGCCATGGTGGTTGAGTGCATTACTTATTGTTTATTTGAAACAATTGTACCTGCCAATTCCAGGTCTTACTGAAGCTCTGCACAAGTGGTCCTTGGCTCTTGGACAATTCTTCTGATAATTCTTTTCACTCCTCTGTCAGAAATCTTGTGAGGAGCACCTGGTCATGGCCGGTTTATGGTGAAATGATGTTCTTTCCACTTCCGGATAATGGCCCCAACAGTGCTCACTGGAACATTCACATGTTTAGAAAAACTTCTGTAACCAATGCCATCAGTAAGTTTTGCAACAATACCACTCACTTTATTAATTACACCTGTTAAAATGCTTGGTAACACAAACTGCTAATCAGTCAATCACATGGTAGCAACTCAATGCATTTAAGCATCTAGACGTGGTGAAGATGACTCGCTGAAGGTCAAACCGAGCATCAGAATGGGAAAGAAAGGGGATTTAAGTGACTTTGAATGTGGCATGGTTGTTGGTGCCAGACGGGCTGGTCTGAGTATTTAAAAAACTGATCTGGGATTTTCAGACACAACCATCTCTAGGTGTCAGGAATGGACTCGCCAATGGTGGTGGGTGGGACTCAACTACCTTGTGGGCTGCAGTACCAGGGCTGGCCAGCGAATGCTCTCAGCAACCAGAAGCTCACTCCTGCAATCAGCCATCACCTGAGGCTGATTGCAGGTCTGGCCATTCCTTAAATACACCTCCTGCAGTCAGTGCCTTGGTGTAAGTTTCCCAAGAGCCCCTGTACCTTGTATCCTGTGTTCCTGTTCTGCCTATCTTATTTGTTGCCGACCCTGCCTGATCCTGACCTCTGCTGACTTCTCCTGCTTGATCCCTGGCTCGTTTGACTATCTCTCCTGGACATCCCTAATCTGATCTGAACTCCTGTTACCGACCCTGGCGAGTGACCCGACTACTCTTCTGCCTGCTGCCTAGTACCACGCTGACCCGCTGTTACCGACCCGGCCCGTCTGACCACGCTAATTACTCTGCCATCCATCCATCCTGCATGGATCCAGCCATCCTGGCTCACACCTTCTGCCTCTTCACATCAGGCTCTCTACCTGCATATACCTCTGGCGGTAGCCTCTACCACGAGCAGGTGTACTCAGGGGCTGCGACCTGGTTCCCGTCTGCTCCAAGTCCATCCCGACCATCAGGGGCCCTGGTGAATAAGCAGACTGGGACTTAGACTCCACACCCTGGGGAATCCTGTCCTGAGGACTGCTAGAGGTACCACCAGACGGTTGTTAACCATACGGCCGGCCTGACCATTCCACCTCTCCAGCCCTGACTGCACCTGTACCAATTAGTTTAAGGTTTGTTTTGTTTTGCACTGTGTTTGTTTATTTTGTGCAGTTCACAATAAAAATTATTATTATTTAATCATTTCTGAAGCCTGCTGTTTCCCTGTGTCAGTCCACACATCTCTGGTCATACCTGGATCCCTGACACTAGGTATACACAGATGACGTTGTCAGGGGTGATGTCATCTCTGTGACGAAACGCTTAGGGTGGAGCCATGACATGTGACATCACTGCACACAGCCACAGACTTCTTGTTGGTTGGAAACACTATACAGACATGCTGTTTTTTACTTCTGTAATTGTAAGTGCATTACTTGAATAAATTGCATCTTTTAACTACTACACTATGAGCAGTTATACTTTTTCCTATGTGGCGTTTACTGCGTGGAGAAGTATTTGCCATTCTAGACCTCAATGTTTAGTCTTTACATCACCAGATTTCTGGGGAGATTCATTTGGGAGTCGTTGACTCATCTGCTGGGCTTTATATCTGCGTTATTTGACCAATCCTTCGGGTGGTCAAATTTTCTGTTAAGAGGCTAAGTGATTGGGTGAAAGGTGACGGATTCTCTCTCTCTCTCCTTCTGGTTTTTGGCTCACTTAGCACCATTACCACTGGATCATGGGGACTTTCATATAGACTTCATTTAATGTATTATATGGATTTATAATTATCCCACTTAATGCGTTAGCTGCCATTTTTACTAGATTGAGGAAAGATTTATTGAAAAACAAACTACGTAGCGAGAGTGGAAGTAGGACAGATGATAGTACCCACACAAACTGTTCCAATAGAAAGAAACTTACTTTTTCCACCTCATTCAGTTTGGAACAGGGGCGGACTGACAACTCATGGGGACCCCGGGCAATAGGGGATCATGGGGCCCCTGTGTCCTTGCCCAAACTCAAAAAAGCCTATGAAAAAGGTACCAGGGGCATCTCATGGGGCCCCCTACTGACCCCGGGCCCTGGGCAGTGCCCGAGTTTCCAAATAGTCAGTCCGCCCCTGGTTTGGAATTCAATGATATCAAGCGTATTGTCACTCGTT